GCTGTTCATGTCTTTTATAATACACTATTCATGACATATCTGAACAGCGTACTGGATCCAGTTATTTACTACTTCTCAAGTTCAAAATTCAAAAGTGCTTTACTGAAAGCAGTTGCTCCGTTTAAGCGAAATTGTTCCAAATCAGAAACTGACAGTGCGGCGCAACCGACAGAATCCACAGGACAAATAGATGTGGATCATCATTTAAAAAACACGGCGGGCTGTAATAAATATGAGCAATCCCAGTCTATGTCTACTTTGTCTGCATCATCTAACTTTTAGTGATCCGCTGTGTATTTAAAGTAACTTCCATGCATTGCTGCAAAACGTTGTAATTAAGTAGATTTTGTTGTTATTCTATTTCTGGCGAAATCGTGCTAAAATAAACTGTGATTTTTGAAGTCTAGTTATCTACATTCGTAATATTTGCCTTAATTCTATAGAGTAAGGGAATGATTACTAGATTTTGGAATACTATTTACAGAAATCAATGCGGAATGAGGGATGCGTGGCTCTTGTTACATGTCCCAAGCCTTCTGGGGTCTTTGTTCATGAGTTGGGGTCGGGGATTGCCAATTTTCGCAGGCAGCAGGGAAAAGATAGATATCTTAGCGAAGGAACAGCCTGAAATATGGATAAAAGGCCCACAGGATTGTTACTGTCGTCTTACCTGGATCTAGAATATTACCAATACTCCCTTATCAGCCACGTGCCACTTCACCCATCATCACATTGCCGTTATTGGCAGCTCCAAACTGTTTCAAAAAGACATTCGATTAAACCTAGGGGTGGACGTTTTGTGAAATAAAAATACAAAGTCATCCAAAAACGAAACTAAGGCAAAGAGAATAATCCAATGAGAGAGAATGGGTTGTGAAAATAAGAATAAAAAGGAAGGAGTATATTGTATTCCTTGTCTTTATTGTGACCAGCAGCAGGAATAAGTCAATGTTGCTCCTGTTGCTATTGTAGAAGAAAAAGGATTTGTCCTTTCAGGACAGAAACAAAGAGGAATGTTCTTCTCTCAAAGAATTGTATGACTTTGTATATCTATGCCTCAGAAGGTGATGGAGGTGCAGTTCATTGAATATTTTTAAGGCACATTTAGATAGATTTTTATTAGGCAGTGATATCAAAGGTTTTCAGGATAGAAACAGGATCAAGAGGGTTAACAGTTTACTTTTGCTCCTACTTTGTATGTTCCATTGGTCATGTATTGGATAAGAATTTGCATATAGAACATGCCTTTGCTTTACCAGAACTCTTACAATCCCTTACTGTTCAACATTGACTGATGATTTTCTATGGTAGCATTTTTTCCACAAGGTGCTAGATTTCTGATTTTGTGAAAATTCAGAGTAAGGAAGAAAGGGAAATGGGAGAGTGGATCAAAGGAAAGAGAAGGATTATCTCTTCCCAATGACATCAGCAGTAACCTGTGATTCATGGAAAAATAACTATTTGTAAGAAGCTAAGACAAAATGTGATCAGAGCAGAAGAAGGCTATTCAGTCCATCATGTTTGTTCTGCCATTCAACTCGATCATGGCTGATCTGATAGTCCTTAGCTCCATTTTCCAGTCTTGTTCCCACAACCTTTGATTCCCTTACTGATTAGAAGTCTATCTCAGCCTTCAATATACTTAGTGACAGCCTTGATAGTAAATAGTTCAACAGGTTCACTACCCTCTGAGTGAAAATAATCCTCATCTCTGTCAAGGGGAAACAATCTTTCTGCATCTACCCTGTCAAACTCCTAAGATTCTTATATGTTTCAGTAAGATTCAGTCACATTAGAAAATCACTCTCCTCCTGGGATTACCCTTGTGAATCTTTTCTGGACTGCCTCCAATACCAGAATATATTTCCTTAAGTGGATCAAAATTGTTTACAATATTCTAGGTATGGTCTGACTCGTGCCTTGTATGATTTTAACAGGGCTTCCCTATTTTTATACTTCATTCCCTTTGAAATAAGGGCCAACATTCCATTTCCCTTCCCTCTTACTGGCTGATCTCGAAAGCTAGCTTTTTTGATTTATGCATGAAGGTTCCCAAATCCACCTGTGCAGCAACTTCCTGCAATCTGTCTGTATTTAAATAACATACAGTGCCTGTATTCATCTTCTCAAAGTGCATTCTCTCACATTTTCCCATATTTCATTCAATCTGTCTATACCCTTCTGTAGATTCTTCACGTTATCATCACTACTTGCCCTCCCATTATTTTTTGTATCATCTACAAACCAGGCTTCAGTATATTCACTTCAATCGTCCAAGTCATTAATGTACATTGTAAATAATTGTGGCATCAGCACTGATCCCTGTGGCACTGATAGAGTCATAGAGACATATAGCATGGAAACAGAACTTTTGGTCCAACTTGTCTGCACTGACCAAACATCCCAACAGACCTAGTCCCATTTGCCAGCATTTGGCCCATATCCCGTTAAATCCTACCTATTCATATTCCCATCCAGCCTTTTAAATGTTGTAATTGTACCTGCCTCCACTATTTCCTCTGACAGTTCGTTCCATACATGCACCACTCTCTGTATGAAAAAGTTGCTCCTCAGGTCCTGTTTAAATCTTCCCCTCTCACCTTAAACCTATGCCCTCTAGTTTTGAACCCCCCTTCATGAATCTAAACTGACTCTGCTTGGTTATATTATGTATTCCTGAATGTTCTGCTATTAACATCCTTCACAATGGGCTCTAACATTTTCCGAATGCCAGGTGTTAAGGTGACTGACCTATAGTTACCTTTTTATTGTCTCCCTCCACCCTTTGAATCATTTTATTGTATGTAACAAGCATTACTATTAATTACAAATAAATAGCTTCTAACTACAAATAAACAGTAATGAATATCAACATATAGCTGATAATTAAAGTTCTAATCCCCTTATAAATTCTTACTTGTACATATAGAGAAAAAATGGTTTTATGGGCAATGGGAAGGACTGGGAAGGCTGTTCAATCATCCCTGTTCACAGGGTTCACTGAAATAGAGATAGCAGGAAATAGAGATAGTAGGAACTGCAGATGCTGGAGAATCCGAGACAACAAGGT